ACAAAATTTCTTTAATGTTGATTGTACAGGAACTCATATGAACGCACTTTTTCAATAATTTGTTCATCCATGTTTGAAAACTGTTTACAGAAAATGCGCACTCCGTGTGTAGCTGCATGGAGGGGGCCAACACGCGTCCACACGTCTCTTCAAAATTCAAAACAATTTGATTTTCGAAACGTCGTTCGACGTAAGGTGGCATGGTGTAGGGTGGCATGGGACAAGTGAGTACGTATTCCATTGAAACCTGTGTTAAATTTCTGCATAACAAAACGTCGCGTAGCGTAGGGTGGCGTGGCGTAGGCCAAATGGGTTTCCAGCATTACTTTACGCATACCTAGTGATGTGTAATATTAAAAAATCGCAGTTAGGGAATTACATGGAATTAAGTTGTAGTTGCCATAGTAGTTGCCATAGATGCAATTGTTCAAGGGAATTTATTACTAACATCATGGTGACCACAATCCACACAACAAGGTATGTTCTATCTCGTACTAAAAATACTAAAAATTACTGAAACACTGCACAGAGCTTAAAGGCGGCCATTTTTGTTGTTTACAATTCTTCTGCTTTGAGTTTGTGCTCTGTTTATACAGATATATAGTCGTTATATAATCGTTTTAAGCTTTGTGTTTCTTACAGAGGCACTTGCAATCCTTAAAAGAGTCCTTAAAGTGCTAAGGGCAACCGTTTTACTTCTATTTTATAAAAAATAAACCATATTCTACCAGGGCTGTCAAATGTCAATTTAAGGTAAATTTACCCTAACCCAATTAACTTTAAAATTGACATTTGTCAGTCCTGACAGAATAATATTTTACAAAAAAGGAGTAAATGGTTGCCCTAAGCACTTTAAGGCCTCTTTTAAGGTTTACAAGTGCCTCTGTAAGAAACACAAGGTTTAAAGCGATTATTAATCTGTATAAACAGAGCACAAACCCAAAGCACAAGAATTATAAACAACAAAAATGGCCGCCGCACAGTGGGAGGAATTTCTAAAATCTCGGACAAAATTAGAGACACATTATTTTTTAATATTTTAAGGTTTATGCGGTAGTAAATTTATGTTTAAATTTTTATACAAAATTTGGAAGAGTTCGGTTTTGTCGATCTTCAAAATAGAAAAGTAAACAATGAAACAATAACAATTAAGGAACATTCGAGCAAAATCACTTATATCCATCTTTTCTTTGTCAATTTCGCATCTTTAGCTTTATTTCTAACGACTACTAAAGTGACTTGCCCAAAAAACCCTATATCGATGTTAAAATTACATTTGATTTAAGAGCAAAGCGTTTTTTACCTAACCTAGTCGGAGGATTTACTGATAAATACGTTTTTACCTTGTGAAATAACTTTTGCTAATTAATGTAACTTTTTTTGTTTCATTTTATTTTTGCACTAAGAATATGTATACTTTTAAAGTTTTATAAGGCGTTAATAATATACCCTAAGGGTCTATAGATGCGATTGTATGTTAAGATTGAGTGTCACTCGAAACTGACGTTTTAGAACTAGCAAAAGGCAACTATGATGACTTATAAATAATAGACTAATATGATCAATCCATGGACATATTCCATATCCTTTTTACCAAACAAGCAAAAAGAGGCAGCTTTTCCCTTTTAAAAAAGAATATTTATATGAACGTTTTGGTACCAAATACTTTGCCTCACACCAACACACACCTAAAGAAATATTTTCTGGTTTGTAAAAGATTTATCTTCGTTGAAAGGCAATGGTAAAAGGTTTAGAAAAACCTTATTTTTGGTAAAATTTGTAGTTTTAGACTTTCATATGAAAGAACAATTACGCAAAACAAAAATGGGCTTGAAAAACTTACATAAAATTTGCTCTTAAAAAACGGCACGAGCAATGTTACTTTTTAAGCAAGTTTAAGCGGGCATTTTATCATACAAAAAATATTTTTTAAAAATCATAATCTCTGGGCTTTCATTTTTTATAACTCGCAATTTAAAATTTGCTATGTTGATTTTCACAAAATTCCTCCCAGTGTGCGTCGTTAAGCTCTGTGCAGTGTTGCAGTGATTTTTAGTACGAGTTGTGTAGATTGTCATGGTTAAAATAAGTAAATATTTGTCAGAAGTATCAATGCCAAATTTTTAAAATTCAAAAATAAGGTTTAAAATGTTGTTTTGTTGATAAAGTAGTGAACATTTATCGAGAGGTAAAGCAACTCGCTGAATTGCCACTTACCACTCTTGTTATGTAAACTACTATTATGAAATAGCATATTTGCTTTTTATACTATGCAAAAGTTTACATATTTTTGATTCCGTAAATATTTTAGGAAGAAGAACGAGCTTTAAACATTTTAGATAGAGTTAGCTCGGCGGTAAGTAAAACGAAAACCCATTTAATTTTCATTGTTCCAATTACTTAACTTTAAAACGTAGAATGTTATGGCAATCCACGTTAAATATGCTTGGAACTAACCACCGAAATAGTGAAAATAATGATCTAAAGTAGTTTTTTAGCTTTATTTTTTAATAAATTAAGCCACATGTTTAAATCGTTTTTCCAATTTGTTGCTTTGTTTTCAATATACATATTTACCTTTAAAAGCATAAACATTTTTCGCCTAAATTAATTTTTTAATATTTTCCTTTGTTTTATAAAAAAACATTTTCTTTTCTAGGAAGGCGATACTGATTCAGGGTATTGTAAAATAGAAAATGAGGTATGTTTATTGCGTGAATTTTAACAATTATTGTGTTTACTAATTATACATTTTTTCACGCATTTAAAATTATACCGTAAAAATACGCTTGGAAGAATTGGTCTAGTACAAAGACAAGGAGTCAACCCATAAAATATAAAGTATATATTATATAATATATACAGGGTTTGCCAAATATGGCAATATCGTTTTTTGCTCTTACATTAAAATTCCATATAAAACGTCGAAATAAAAATTCTGTCCAAATCCCAACCCTTAATTTCAATTTTAAGAGGGCATCATCGTGTTATACAATTTCCCATATGAATAACACAGGATAATATTTTCTTTTCGTTTTTTCTTCCTTCATTCTATGTAGCCACTTTTATTTCATATACATGGCTGATGATTCCCCAGTAGCACAAAGATTCGTAATAATATTGGGCCATGGGCGCCGGAAGGAATTCGTCTAGGGGGGGGGCTTAAAGTTTTTTACAATTTTGATAGATGTTATTTATAATCAAGTTGTACTGTAGAAGTTCACATTAAATATTGCTACCTTTGACTAAAAATCCGACTCTACAATCAACGTTGCTACTGTAAATTAATAAAAAAAATATCTCAAATAAAATAATAAACTGTACCTACATAGAAATATATGAATATTATATGAATAAATAAAATAATGCAATAGTAGATAATTTGTTAAATTGCATTACACAAAATAAATAAATAAATGTTAAATAGTAAATAGAAATAATTAAATATTAAAAATATGCAAAAACATACCTAGTTTACAATTGACACTTTACACAAAATAAACAATTAAAATTGCACAATAATGTACACTAGCCAGAGATATAGAGTGCACTGAAAGAAATTTGTTGTTAAAAGTAAATACAAATTTATACTAAAAATTTTATACTAGTGCTTTACACATTTATACTACTGTTTATTATGAATGTATGTTAAATTTTGTAATACATTTATTGTAAAGAAGATATGTTAGATCTAAATAAAAATAAACTTACCCTTACTATAAAATGTAAACTATAAGTGAATTACAGCAAAAAAATATTGCTAGAAACACCATTTATATTGCTAGGGCAGCAATAGGCTGCTAACCAAACGAATATATTTGTTTTAGCAATGTATGTGGTAGTCCATATATGAAACATAAAATATATTTGCCCTAATTATTTTTTTATTTAACTTTAGTATATATTTCTTTCAGTGTGGGGACTTGATTTAATCTGCTGTTTCCAGGTTTAAAATTAAGATTAAGTTAAATTTTACACAATATATTAGCGCCATCTGTTATCTAAGTTAAATTATCTAAGATAAAAACTCTAATTTATCTAAAAAATAATTAACAAATGATAACGATCAGCACTTACCGCCAAATGTTGGAGTATCGGAATTTCTGGGTATGAATTTCCAGGGGGCCCCCTGCCCCTATGTAGCGGCGCCCATGTATTGGGCCAATATATCTTTCGTCAGATTTTTTAGCATAGTACAATATTAAAACCCAACATTGGACCAAAGTTGTTTGACATTATTTTCTAGGAAAGTTGAGTGAGAAATTGATAGAAAAAAAACAATTCCCACCCAAATGATAAGGGGGAAAGGTGGGTTACTTGATATAAAATGTACACTCCAAATTCTTTGAAAAAATCCACCAATAAGACAAGTCGTGTACCGTTTATGTTATTCTTAATTACGATAAAATGCTAAAATCGTTTGTATGCTAAAATGATCAGCTTGCGCTTTATTAACGTAATAACGAATTTTATTGCTAATAAGACAATAAATCGCATATTACCCTTGTTATTCTTACGGTAATATGCTAAACAATATGGATAACAGTCGGTTGCGCCGCTTCCCAACTTAAAACCGTTCCTGCGCCTCTAGTATAGACATATCCTGGAAACAAACATGTGTTGTTAAATATCACTTTTAGAAATCCGAAAGCATCGTTGACTAAAGTTAATGATATATTGGCGTAAAATAAAATGCCAATATATGATCAACCTTGGATAAACATTAGCAAGATATATTAAATTATTTTATGCCAATATAGGGCTAACATCGGCTAAATAAATCCAATATTGGCCCCAGATAAAATATTGGGTATAGACGCGCCCCATATAGGACCAATATTTTGTGCTACTGGGATTCTTAATGAGCATTACATTTTCAACAAAAAATTGTATGCGGTCAAGTTTCTATCATTTATATTTTACTTAAAAATGGATATTTCTAAAAGTTACGCGTTTTTTAGATTTTTAAACTAAACAATTGATGATTGGGGCAGCATATGCTATATAGGCGCTATATAAGCGATTGGAGCAGCTAATTTGGTTACAGTTTTGACACCGAGTGGCACTCTTTGTACAATAGCGTTGAAACCGTGAATGGGATCGGCGGTGTATTCGACGATACGTTGGTGACCATCGGTATCTACGAGGGAGTATCTGCCTTTGACCACGTCTCCTTTACGGGTTTCAAATTGGCTTTTGCTGTCTCCAGTCAAACCGTCTTGTACGTCGTAACCATAAGAGTATTGGGGATTGGGGTGGTATTCCTCTTGGATAACGGTCTTGGCCAAAGCGACTGGAGCACCAACATGGTATGGATGATCAAACCAGCGTTGCAAGCGGCTACGAGAGCGGCAAAGGCAATGAGCTACAAATACAACGATGTTTATTTATTTAGTTAAAAAAAAAAATGTACTTACTTTGAATGCCATTGTTAATTAAGCTAGATAAGATGAACTATAAATAAAAATAAAAAACAACGCTTTATATATCGTTCCGCTATAAGAAGTTATATAATAATTGACCACCAATATTTTTCCAAGAGATCAAGTTCAATGCGTTTATTTAGTATATAATAAAGGTGTGGTTAAAAACAATTTAATTACAGTTTATATTTTGTGTATCTAGCTTATAACCATATAGTTAATAAAATGTTTAGGCAACGGATTTTCGAGTGGTACTTTACGTTTATTAGTTATACGTAACAAGCAGAGCATTTTTCGGCCAACAAATCGTGCCCCTTTTAATAAAAAGAGTTTATTTTAAATAAATCTGGGTCTCTATATGAAAAGTTATTACTTATCAAAAAACCGGGAGTAATTAAAATAAATCCAGAGGAAGTAATAAATATACAGAGAGGAATGTATAAAATTAATTATGAACAATCGCGAATACAATCGGCTTATTATTTTTAGCACTTGACAAAAACATTTTCTAAGCACAAATACAATTTCATTATTGGGTAAAAATATTTTAATTACATAGGATTTTTTTTTGTATTTTTACTTAATTTTATGTTAAAAACATTATTAAAAAGAATTTTCTAATTCGATTTTTTTTATTCGTATTATTTTTATAAAATTATTCATTTTAAGTAACTTACATTAAATTACATTACATTATATAAGTAAAGGGTTTTTCAATAAGAGTGATAGGTTTTCTTTCTTAAATAAAACAAAATCGAAATGAGTAAGAGCAACAATTTTTTTTTATATTAAAGTATAATTTATGCAATTATGCTCTAAAAAGGACATCATTCAAATGACCGCCTCTGCTTTTCGATCACTTTATTTAATAAATTAGGACCTATTTGTCGAATTGGTGTTCAATATTTAATTTGAATGCCTCAATTGTTGCTGGTCTATCAGCATGGACCATTCTTGAGTTATAAAAAATTTGTAAGGATGCAAGCCCAAATTGAACCGTAAAATACACCATGTTGTTGTGGCAGACAGTCCCAACTGTTGAGAAAAAAAATTAGGGTCTATATCAACACTTGCAAAGGCAGCAACATTCCCTTTACTTCGACCGGAACTTTGTCTCACTGGCATGCGAACATTTTGTAAAGAAAGATTGCGTTCAAAATTTTCCACAGATCGACGAATAGCGAGCGATTATGACTACCATAATTTGGAAGTTGCAATATAAGAAAGATTATTTTGATAAAAAAATTGGATTATTTCAAAACGTTTTTGAGGAGTTTATCTTTCCATAATTAAATTGCACACCTTAATTAATATAACTGAGAGTGACAGAAGATTTGACATTTCAAATACGGCCACACTCTCGATTTAAAAACATATCACTTCTATTGAAAAACCCTTTATATGTAAAAGTTTTTAAGTAAGGGGTTGAGACCGGTCGTTCAGAAGTAAGAGTATTGAGGATGGTGGTCATATTCCTCTTTGACAACGGTCTTGGTCAAAGCGACTGGAGCACCAACATGGTATGGGCTACTGATCAAATCAGCGTTGCAAGCGGCTACGAGAGCTAAAACAACATAATATGTCATAATAATACAGGGTGTTTCTTTTAACTTGAGACAGCTCAATATCTCGAGAAATACGCATTTCACGGAAAAATGTCTTAAATAAAAGGTTAATGTGACTAAAGGGGACATTATTTGGTGCTACCGCTAGCCACCCCCTACCCCTCCTTAAGGGTGAAACGGGGGGTAACTTTGGAAAGTCAAATGGAATGACCCGATTTTTTTCACAGAGTTTGGTAGTACATAAAAAAATAAATAACTTTTATTTAAAACTTTTTTCAATTTATCAACAGATGGCGCTGTAATTCAAAATTTAAGAAAAATGAGTTTCCTTGTAAAATGTATTATTTGAAACGTTTGAAAAACAAAAATTAACATTAACAACAATAGTCGGCTATGAAAACAATTTATAACAAATGTTCGAAATGTCCTCATTCCATTTCAACACATTTTTGAATGCAGGTAATGAATTCTGGCACACAACGCGCCAACATATCGGGCGGTATCGCCGCACAGGCGTTCCTGATCCGCTCCACCATGTCCTACCAAGTTGTAGGAATTGCAGCGTAAACTTTTTCTTTCAAGTAACCCCACTGGAAGAAGTCTGGTGGCGTAAGATCAGGTGATCGAGCAGGCCAAATTACTGGACCACGTCTACCGATTCACCGCGGTGCACCGGCCATTGAACTCCCGATCCAACACCTCTCGAGCAATTGTCGAATAATGTGCAGGACAACCATCTTGCTGGTACCACATGTTTTGGAGCCGTGCTAGGGGTACATCCTCCAAAAGGTCCGTCAGATCGTTTTCTAGAAAATTCCGGTACTTTTCGCCATTTAATGCACCGTCAATAAAGAAGGGTCCGATTAATCGTTCGCTTAAGGTACCGCACCAAACGTTTACCGACCAGGGACGCTGGTGCTCCACTTGGTGTCGAAATGGAAGGACGACATTTCGAACATTTGTTATAAATTGTTTTCAGAGCCGACTATTGTTGATTTAATGTTAATTTTTGTTTTTCAAACGTTTCAAATAATACATTTTACAAGGAAACCCCTTTTTCTTAAATTTTGAATTACAGCGCCATCTGTTGATAAATTGAAAAAACTTTTAAATAAAAGTTATTCATTTTTTTATGTACTACCAAACTCTGTGAAAAAAATCGGCTCATTCCATTTGACTTTCCAAAGTAACCCCCCGTTTCACCCTTAAGGAGGGGTAGGGGGTGGCTAGTGGTAACACCAAATAATGTCCCATTTGGTCACATTAACCTTTTATATAAGACATTTTTCCGTGAAATGCGTATTTCTCGAGATATTGAGCTGTCTCAAGTTAAAAGAAACACCCTGTATATTATATTTAATTTGAACTAGGAAATATTGTTGCTACGGTGCTGACATTGTCAGCCTGACAACAATAAATAAGGTTTAATCGTAAAATTTACCTATTAGGCAATACCTACAATCCTTAAAATGAAGAACTATTTATATAAAATCTTTAATAAAAAAACTCATTTAAAAATATAATATAAATATAGTATAATAGTATATATATCAAGTTTAATAAACACCATTTTAGTCACGAATTTTAAGTAGGCACGAGCGAGCTTGTGAGTGCCTTGAAAACTTTATCAACGAGTTGAATTGTATACTTTTTTTACGACAAATATCATTAGATATAAAACACAATTTATCAACAATTAATTAAAATATTTTATCTCCACGCGGTCTATAATTAAAACTTTATTGTTGTCAACATTCGATAAAGAAATACCTTGTTATTGCATAGGCCGATAAAAATTTTTAGGAGGCAAGTAATTAGTTCGATTTTTTCTCGCTAGGGGTATTGTTTTGACAAATTAATCCTTTTCTAAGAAATTAACGTACTAAACTGGTTTAATTTATTTGTAATAAGCACTAATTTGTTTGTTTTACTGTTAATGTTTAATATTTTTCATTGAATTATTGTAAAATAAAATATGAATAATAAAACAAAAAGTGAGGTTAGGCAACAAAGAAAACGCACGATTCTTTTTCTACGACTTAAATTATCTTTAAGTTTTAATTTGCTTTAAGTTTTTAGTGAAATTAAATGTTAAACACAGCTTTAACATTCCAAACTGCCTATCTTTTAAATAAAAATCCAAATAAATTGAAATTAGATTCCTACATTCCTATTTATTAAACAATTAATTGAATTCAATGTAATAGCAGAAATCCATTTCTAGTTAAATCATTGCTAGGTAATGTCATTACTGCTTCTAAAAGCAATAATAATTATTGTACATTTAATGTAATCTTTAGCTAATAAATAAATGAGATTTTAAAAAAGTGAGGTTAGGCCGCTTTGATGTTGAATTAAATTGACCTATATAAAGTGCTTTGAAGATAAAATAATGTATACCATTCGGCCAAGAAGTGCCTTTTTTTGCTTCGCTCAAACCTTGAGCTTAGCATAAAAAGCCTTACTTCTTAACCTAATGACATAAATAACTATTTATAGAGCATCTACATATACAAAAATAAAGTAACCTTTAAATCTGTTTTACCTCAAATTTTTCTGTAAAGATCGAAATTTATGTCTTATGGACTAACAACCGTTAAAATCCGATATAGAAGCAGTTTTTTTACAGTGAAAGTGAAAAGGATGTGTTATGGGTACCTACTCTACCCGAAATTATGAATGCTTTATCGTAACTACTGCCTGCGAAATCAAAAGGTCAGTACAAACCTTTCAAAGATTGGCGTGAAGAAACTGTTATAATAATAATAATTTTATAACTGTTATAATAATAATAATTTTAAATTTTTGTATTGAGATAATAAAATAATTTTGACATTTACTATTTCATAAAAAGTGCACCTTATTTTGACGATTGTATGACATTTGACAACTGTCAACTAACTTCAGCAATGACTAAAAACCTGTTGCCAACTTCAGCCCGTGACTAAAACGTCATAAAGACACTTGTCAATGTATTTTTAAAATATCACTTAGTGTCATGGAAACATGTACGATAGGTAATGGGAGTAGAAAAACCAGTTTAATTTTTCCATATTGCTTAAATTTTGCTAAGGAGTTACAAAAATATGACTTTAAAACACTGTATTTTAAAAGCAAAGCTTTACATGAACTTAATATTACAATTATATTTGGTAGGTTGAAATAAAAAGTAAATGTTTGCTTATAATAATTATTATAATTAAATGGTTTACATTAAATATTTTAGCATAAATTGAGATTATTAATAGTAATGAGTCACAAAAGGATTATAATAAAACCCTGGATAGGTATACAGGAACGACGGATATCGGTTCAAAGAATACGCTAAAGTTTTTGCATACTCAGGAACGTGTTGAAAGCTTTTGGCTTCCACACTATTAAGTACTACTTTTGGCACCTTAGGCACAATGGGCGTCCTCTTTACCACCGCGTTAAACCCAT